GGAAAATATGCCTAAGCGGCGGAAAAGCTGAATGAAAACGCTATCTTCCAACTTAAAAGGGGCATTTGTCTCTCGCATAAGCCTTTTTCCACTTTTTTCTTTATCTTCAATGAATTTCTGGCCCAAAATATTACTACCCATTTTGGTTTTTATTCTTTCAAAAAAACGAATAACACAAAACCAAACAGTAGATTTTCTGTTATCTCCTATTTCGCTGGTAACAAAATTTACAGGGTGACAGTGAGCTCAGAATACGAAATAGTAACAAAATTAACTGAATGGTTAACTTTAATACCCAAGTAAATGTTGTTACCTCGACAGAATAGGCCTGTTAGCATCCAGTTTGATCTTGCCAAAAAACATTAATTTAATATTTATGCTTTGAAAAAGCTCTTAAATTATCAACAATAATTTTGTTTTATTTGGACCATGCACAGCGTGCCATTAGTCGCCTATAATATTGTTTTCTTATTTAATCATGGTATAGGTTTCCATATTTGTTTTTTTTTTCTTTGAAACTTTAAAATAGGGAGTGGAACTTTAAGACGTGTTATTTTACACATGTGCATAAAAGAAAATAATTTATTTACGAACAAATCTTTATATTGATTATATGGAGCTATACGTATTTTGAGCTCCGGGTCTTTAACATCAACAGAAGAGTAAAATTTTATATATGTATGTATGTAGTTCATTTAAAAGTAAAATTAATCTTTACTTTACTCAACTCACAAAAATGTAACATTTTAATTTGTTCACGCCAAATAAAAAGTGGAAGATTGATTTCGCTTCAGTTTATATTTTATATTTTTCGAACTCATCTGAGTTGTTTGAATTTCCTATTATCATATTTTACCAAGTCTTTGGAATAGGAGGTTATGATAATCGCTGACGTCAACGAAAAGACTTCGTCATATTTACATTGTGGGAGACCTCGTATTTATTTTATTAAACTTTTTTTAATATATTTGTGTGCTTAGAAACATAGATATTGGGAGAACAAAAAGTTAAATACTTTAACAGAAGAGAAGACAAATTATACAATTATTATTAATAATATTTTACTCTCTTCTTATATTTCATGAGTTTAACATTCCGATGAATTCATGTTTTCTTTTAATATGTTTTGTATTAAGTTTTCGGCATAAAAATATGTAACATCGAATTTATAGAAACTCTGTCTAAATTTTCCAGAAAATGTTTGTTAGATATAGAAATTTTTTTTCAAAAATAATATTAATTTTTATAATTAAATAAAATGTTTTGAATTTTAATATATTATTTTTTCGACATAAAATTAATTAAGACATATCTATGTAGGATTCATTTTATGGCAGTCCAATGCAGACCTTTACGATGTAGTCGTAATCTAAGCTCTTTTTCGAAAAAAAAAAATTAAACCAACATCGTATTTTTTTTTTTTTTTTTTGCTCTTTTCCTTTATGTAGGTTCGTCAGCCTTTACTGTCGATAAAATGTTTCTATGTGAAAAGCGATGATTTTGAAATTTAGTTTAGTGGTACATCATTTTGTACGTGTCAGTTGTTCGTTGGAAACCAATTTTTGTCTTACTGCCAATTATAAAAGGTGTGAAATTCATATCTTTCATCTTTGGCGCGTATTCCCTATTACGATTCATTTTTCAAACGAAAAAACGAGTTGCATGATTTCTATACTTTTAGTGTACTTTTCCATCAATTTTCTTCGTATTTGTTATCATAACACTTAGTTCTATATGAACACTACTATTTTCTCGGGAAGTGGACAAGAGATCGAACTGTTCTAAAATATCTTATTTATGGTGCGATTTAATATATGTATGTTTGTATAAACAGCAGAAGCTTTGGAGTACTTTCTTCAGAAGTAAATCAGGGCACACGAACCGGATTTGCTTGGTCCATGTCCATTTCATAACCATATAGATGGCATTATGCATATACTTACGCTGGCACTCTAAATGATGTCGTGCGCGAGCTTAAACGGAACCAAACATCCAATTCTCCGGTAATGTTACAATATTATAAAATCGCCAAAAATAATTAAAAAATTTCGTGATTAATTATTTTATGAATGCCAATATTGAGCAATTCTAAAAAAACACGTTCAGTGTAAAAAATTGTATAGCCAAACTAGCCTAACTACGAATCATCGCTCTCTCTGTCGAATATTGGGTAAGTCACTATAATTGATCTTGCTTGAAAATAAATGAAATCGCTTGATTTCGAGGTTCACAACAACCCTTCACATCGCTCAAAACCATGAACTCATCTATTTATTTTAATTTTTTTATTTTTTTTTGTTTTGACCTTCTGCTGTTCTAAGTAATAACATTCATCTTCCATATCTTTCTTATCAATGCCTTTTGTATTGTCAATTTACCCTTGACCCTGCATGTTGTCATTATAATTTTAGCTTGGCAAATAATTCGAACATTTGGCAGATGCCCAAAATTCCATACTCGTAATACTGTACTATGGTTTAAATATTACATCATGAAATGAGTATTCTTGCTCTTTGTTTATGTGTGAAAAGTAAGAATATTTTTAAATTATTAGAAAATTATAATAATTTAGTAAGGTTGAAAATATTTGTTTTCTAAGTAAAGCAACGTCTAGAACAACTGTATCTATCTAAATGGCTACAATAGCCGAATGGTTAGCATTGGGTAGTATCTTTCGAAAGGCCAGGGATCAAGATCGAAATCCAAAATTATAGAAAATAATTTTTTTTTAATTGCGCCCTTCGTTAGAGAAAGCCAACCTTCTCATCAAAAAAACATTAGCTGTTCGGAGGCGGCTTAGAATAAACTGTAGGTCCCTCCATTTGTTGGAAAAACATTAAGGCGTACATTAATAATAAATATATATACATATGTATATAAACATACACGGTGTGTCCCAAAAATAACCGAACTTTTTGGATATAAAATAAAGTACACATTATATTATCTTTGAAAGTTATTATTTATTCAAAATAGGTTCCGTTTGACTCAACACCACGTTTGGAACGATCAACCAGCGGATGCATAGATTTTTTATGTCATTCATAGAAATGTTCTTCAGTACCTCGGTTACGGCTGCTTGAATGGCTGGGATGTCATCATAAAATGCTCCCTTCATCTTGGTTTTCAGTTTTGGAAATAAAAAATAGTCACATGGTGATAGATCAGGCGAATACGGAGGATGGTCGATGAGAGGAATACCTTTTTTCATTAAAAATTCGAGCGATTTTTGGGTCGCCATTTAATAAATGTGGAACAAATCGCGCACAGACCTTTCTTTTCCCCAAATCTTCAGTTAAAATTCTCCAAATAGTGTTTTTACTCGTATGCAATTCCTCAGCCAACATTCTCGTAGTAAAATTTGCCTCGATATCAATGATTTCACGGACTTTTTCCACCAGTTCAGCACGATCACTAGTTTCTGGACGTCCTGCTCTAGGGTCGTCATTTAAATCCTCACGACCATTTTTAAATCGTGTACACTACGTATAAACTTGCGTACGACTCATACAATCATCACAATAAACTTTTTTCATTAATTTTTTTTTCAAGTTTGACACAAAATTTTATTTTTGCTCTTTGTTCCATTTTATTTTTGAACCATTAGCACACTTTTGGTTTTTTTTGAAATGGCTGTCACTTTTACATCTGTCATCCGACTTACATGATGTTAGGTGCGTTTGAAAGAGGATGAATGTATCTTTTTAATGTTGAAAATGTTGTCAATAGATGACGCTGTATGTTGTATGATTTAAATATGAAGTTCGGTTATTTTTAGGACACACCGTGTACAGTGGCTCAATAAAGAATTCATACATACATTCCACTGTTATTAACATGCAACTTCAAGCTAGATTTTTTTTAACCAATTAATATTAAGCATTTTTTTATGTTTCTATAGGATATCCAATAAGGATTTAAAATACCAATAGCAAACAAATTAAATAGTTTGTAGGTCTCCTATACACTTACTTCAAAAAATTAATCTGTGGCATGATAGAAATTTCGCCAAAAAATAAGTTGGACATCTGGTAATATTACAGTTGCTTGGAATTTTAAAAAAGGGAATCCCACAATTAGTTTGTTTTCGTTTAAAAATACATAAATTTATAATCAAACGTAAGAGCTTAAAACATAATTTAATTTTTGGAAAAAAAAGTTGAAAAGTTCAAACATGGGTAGACAGCGTGGACAAAGCTCAATTGAAGTAAAGAAGTTAATTATTAGTCATTTTGAAAAAGGAAAAACCATTCAGTAAATCGACTGTGCATGACGTGATTAAACGATTCAAACAACAAATCCGTCAAAATCCGTGGAAAACAAAAAGAAGTCTGGACGACCGAAGTTGTTTTCGGCTGCAGATGAGCAGTGGATAGTGCGGCAAATCAAAAAAATCCAAACATGAGCGCTTCCAAGCTCTCAACAGAAGTTTTACAACATCTACGTCCGACTGTCAAACACGGGAGCTGGGTTGTTTGGGGTTGTATGTCCGCAGCTGGTACTGGAAATTTGGGTTTCATAAATCGTAATATGGACGACAAGCAATATCTGACCATTTCAAAAGAAAATTTAGTGCAAAGTGCGGAAAACTTGGGAATTAAAGGCAACGATCCCAAGCATAAAGCACTTTATGTCCGTCTATGGTCGATGTATAACTGTCCTAAAGTACTTGAAACACCTCCTCAATCTCCCGACATTAACATCTGTGGGCTCATTTGGAAAATAAACTGAAAGTGTATGTTATTAGAAATTAGAAAGACCTAGAGCCGCTATTTTGGAAAAGTGGGGGAAAGTAAATTCTTTAACATGCAAGGAGCTGGTTGAATCTTTGCCAAGAAGACTGTATGCTATCAGAAAAAGTAAAGGCTTACCGACTAAATATTAAGAATATTTTATTTCTCTTTAAATAATATTTTTAAATTCTATGTTATGTATATGTCCGAGTTCTTTTTTTTCATCAGTTTTGTTAAGATGTTATGTTCATATTATTTTTATACGACCGAGTTGAATTTATATATGTCAAAAACTATTATTAAAAAAAAAATTAAATTAATTCGCATGATACCATACAGCTCAGAAATGCAAGCGTAGGTATGGCTAAGAATGACTTGACTTAAAATTTAATTTACCAAAATAAATTCGTATACTGTTGTTGAGTCAGGAACAAGTGTAGAGAGTACAAACATTTATCTCTTGACACAAAAGTCAAAAAATTCTATGATCTACTATGTATTAGACCAAATTTTTCGGGTGTTGAACCAAATATGTGTACCGTTAGTTATTAAGTATTGTTGATTAATACACTACTTGTCTACATATACATACATATATATATATGTAAACTATTGGCTGCACATACTAAGTGAAATTTAGAAGCACATTAAAACACTATTGTAAATCAACATCAAAACAGTGCTAAAAAGCTACGTAAAAACTTGCTATTTTCTTATACTTTTCTCGTGCTGAAGCCGATAAAAGGTTAGTAATCCACCGTATGGAACATTTTTCATTCCGAATTCCTTAGGACACCGTCGAGTTTTCATCGCTTTCATCCGGTTGATCGAAGGGATCCCGTTCGCGACTTTCCAGCAGTGCCGACACAAGCAAAGGTATACTGCCCAACACCATACAAGCGCCCATGCAATAGAAACATATATCGTAACTACCGGAGAGATCGCGCAGAAATCCTGCCAACGGTGGCACCGAAATAGCGCCAATGCTTTGAAACATACGCACCAAACCGTAGCTGGAACTAATGCGATCTGTGCCAAATATATCAGCCAATAACACCGGCATTAGCACATACCAGCTGCCCAAACAAAATCCATAAACGGCAGCGGATAATCCCACTAGATAGAGCGTATTCTCTGATGGTATGGTCAGTACGGCAATACCAGCGCCAAGTATACTGAAACATTTGAAAAAAAAAAAATATTTGTGATTTGAATAATTCAGTTATTTGTAAAATAATCCAGCTTACATACCAAAAAATATAGGTCTTTTTACGATCAAAGAGTTGCAAATCAGACAACCAGCCGAGGCCCAGACGTCCACATAAGTCCAAAACAGCACTCACGGCGACAAGGTAACCAGCTTGACTTTTATTATAACCTGTGTGAAAAAATAAATAGTTTTATTTGTAAGTAACCCAGTGTTCGCGAAGGGGACATCCAAGGTTAATTTCAAGATGATTACATACATTAAGACCAGAAAGTTTCCGGAAATTGTTTTTTTCAATATTCGCAGTTTGGTTCATCATGAATTCGTTCAAACGGGACAGACGGCCAATAAAGAATATTATTTGATCATTTCTGACGTGTCAAACAAATAGATAGAGAGATTGGCATTGTATCCGAGTGGTTAGTATTGCATACTGCCATTCGGAAGACTCGGTTTCAAATCATGGAAAGTACTTTAAATATAAAATTAAGCAAAATTTTATAATTGCTGTCGCCCCTCGGCAGGGAATGTCCACCTCTCCGAGTGTATGTCCGACATGAAATAAATCTCCTCAGAAGAAAAACCAGCAGCCGTTCGGAGGTGGTTTAGTATAAAATGTAGGTCCCTCCATTTGTTGGAAATACATCAAGACGCAAACCACAAATTGGAGCAATCCACTCCCAACGTTCAACCAATTTACGGATGCCTGATTCATAGAAATCGCGCGGTTTCTCGTTGAAAACGGTGTCAAGGTGGTTTTTGACGTCTTCCACATTTTTAAATTTTTTTCCATTCAAATTGTTCTGCAGCGATCGAAACAAATGATAATCAGAAGGTGCAATGTCGGGTGAATATGGGGGATGCGGCATGATTTCCCAATTCATCTCCTTCAACATGTGGCCTGGCGTTGTCATGATGGAAAAGAACTCCTTTGCGATTGTCCAAAATCGGACGTTTTTCATCAATTGCTTTCTTCAATTCGACCAATTGCTGACAATACTTGTTGGCGGTGATCGTTTCTCCAGCTGGCAAGAGCTCAAAATAGATCACGCCTCGGATATCCCACCAAATGCATAGCAGTACCTTCATCGGATGCAATCCACCTTTCGACATCGGATCCGCCCCTTCGTGTGCCTGTTACCATGTTCTTTTGCGTTGAACATATTTGTACAGGATCCGTTTTTCATCACCAGTCACGAGCCGATCCAAAAAAGGTTCGTTTTTGATCCGTCGAAGCAAAGAAATTGCTGTTGACATACGGTCCACTTTGTTTTTTTTTTTCACTCAACTGATGTGGCACCCATGTATCGAGCTTCGAAGTGTACCCAACCTTTTTTAAACGACGAAACGCAGTTGATTTGTTGACGTTCAATTCACTATCAACCTCTTCCGTCGAAATACGTGAGTTATTCGCAACTAAAGTCCTTAGAACAGAAGGCCGTCCACTGCGAGGTTGATCTTCGAGGTTAAAATCTCCAGAACGAAATTTCGCGAACCATTTCTTTACTGTGCGGAGTGTTGGAGCACGGTCCAAATAAACTTCGCGAATACCTTTAGTTGCAGCGCCTACTGTTTTTCCTTCGTATAACAAAATATGACGCATATGATCTTTTTCGTTGTCCATCTTCCATGCGTCTTTTCACTAAGCAACTCAAATCAAAATGAAGTTATTTTATGCTTGATTTACAGTTCGGACTGTCACCTTTCCAACGATATATAATATGTATCAAACGATTCGAACGGCATCCAGCGGAATCGGGCACGAACTTATGCACTCATCCAATATAATATAATTAAGGACAGTACCACCAACTTACCAAAATATTCAGCGCGGACAGTTCAAATGATAATTTCCGGAAACTTTCTAGTATTAAAGCATCTTACTAAGATAGTGACAAACTTAGTTATATGGCCAAGCCATATTTATTAAACTTTTATCGACAATTTCTGGGTCATCCAAAGTAACAAAGTGGTATCGGAAAAGGCCCGACCCAACTGCGTGCATTGTTGTGGCTCCAACTGGGGCATAAAATAATGTCAAGGATAAAGTCATTCATTATTTTTGCAAAAGTTGGCTTTAGCGATGTGTAGCTTGCTTTCGATAAGAGCGATTGGATTAGGGCGTTAGACAGGTAATTTTTTGCATGTATGGCGAATTATTTGACTGGTGAAGCATTGTGCTCTGGACAAATTCTAATTTGATGCAAAAATGATGGATTACTTTATACTGGATCTATACACTCGTATCAGTGGAAATGGGAGATCATCATGGTATGTAGAATTGGGACTTCATATCCGCTTAAGCGATTTTAAGTGAAGGGGCGACAGCAATTACAAAAATCAATTTTCTGTTATTTGGGATGTTGATAGATACTGGAGTCGAACCCTGGCCTTCTAAATGATAGTACAGACTGTGACTGCCAACGATTTGAACACTCGATATTCCACTTTAATACCAAACAGCATAGATTGCTGCTTTAACTAAGGCACTGCAGTCAACAATAATGCCATTTGATGGCTGAACTGAAGATCAAAGGAAGATTTGGTGGTTGTGTTTTCTTAAGAAACTCACCGAATGAGCTAACTTTCAAACTAGCCAACTCAGAATGTCTTATCTAGCTTAAGTTTTAGGTGTGTTATTATGACTGTAAATTATATTGAATTTCACTGACAAGGATAACAATATCTTCAGTAATCAGTGGTTAAAACGCTTGGCCCACTCATAACTATTTTAGAAACTGTCGCTGATCTCAACACGACAAGAAACAATGACCATGTCGTATAAAGATAGGTACACATTGCGATTTGGGGTAACAAAAGAGACCTCACGAAATGTACTTTCCTTAAAAATAGTTGAATATCCAAAGAAGTAAGTGAAAGTCCCTGAGAAATTGTCTTTGTACCAGGTAAACTAATTTGCGAGCTCTGATTTTTAATGAATAACTTCTGTGGCATCAGATCTGTCCAACGCATGATGACATCATCGGTTCTGTAACCTAATCTATTCCTACATGTACTCGTACATATTTATATTATAAAAGAGATATTATAAATTCCTCTTACCATTTGATAGTGCGTGCGCTGGTAGATAGTAAAGCATGTAAGGACAACCGACTGACATCAGTGTCACAGACAAGCACATCAATATGAATGTTGTATCTTTTAGCAAACTAATGTCCAAGTACAATTCGATGCGCTCACAGCAGGTGCGTGGTTCATCGTCATCATCGTCATCACCATCACAAGTACCAACATCCATAGGTGGCTGAGCTACTATAGCACCACTCAAGTCATGCAATTCACCGCGTTTGTTCAAATCAGTAAAATTGCTCACTGGTGTCGGTATTTCCATACTTTTGCTAAGTCCACGAGTGACAACGGCGGGGGGAGAGAGTGGTTTTCCTAAATGAGCTTGTATTTTCGAAATGATTTCATCATTGGCAAAGACATTACGTCGCCGGCGGCTACCACGATTCGAATCGGTGCCAGAATTCTTGCGATATACCCAAGTAGAATCGGTGCTGAGATCTTCCACCGAATGCATTATACCCGAGCTGCGCACTTTCTTCATTGGCTTAATAAAGGTGGTTTCGCCTATGACATCCTTTATTTCGTCATCGCTCTCTTGACCATTTTGAGCATTTTGCTTTTCGCTTACTAACAGAAAAAATAATTTGCGTGCTCAAATTACTTTACGAGTACATATTAACAGAAAATACTCACCACTTTGCTTTCCAGAGTATAAGTCATTCAAACGATTTTTGGATTCTTCAAGGAACAAATGTTCGATGAACTTATTATTCAGCGTTGCGTCGCATGTGTCCAAGTATGTTGAGCCAGTCAGCATGCCAGTTGTACTGGGATTAATATCATTCAGTGGCTTAGCCGATTCTTCTTCCTCCTCGTTCAACTTGCCACTCTCACTATTGTAATCCTCTATAGGTCTATAGAGCATGGCTGAGATGCACACGTGAAACATGCAACCACCTAAAATTAAAATCGTTCCATGGAAGCCGAAATTCGCTGCGAGATGTTTGATAAGCACTGGTAATACAAAACTTCCGGCCGCAGTACCCGATACGCAGATGCCATTTGCCAACGCCCGATGTTTGTCGAAATATTGCGACACAATAACAATACCGGGTGTTGTGGAGAGACCGCCACCAATGCCTAGTTGCATAAGAATATTTTGAAAGTTTAGTGGAGGCAATCTCTACAAATTAATCACATTCAAATTACCTGTCAAAACTCCGAAAGTTATGAGCAAATGTAGTAGACTGGTGGCAAAGTAGCTTAATGTGAGACCCAATGCACAGAAGAGTCCTCCAACAAAAACTACAGCACGGCAGGAGAACCGTTGACATAACGCACTTGAGACGGGCGCCAAAACTAAACATAGTGCCGACAGTATGGCTGGTATCCAGGAGGCCACTGTTGCCGTCGAACTCGGAAAAGTTTCCATGATTTCCACATAAAATACACCATACGACTTAACTAATCCAGCAACCCAAAATTGAACTGAAAATGCGCTAAACACAATGAGCCACCCATAACCACCATCTGGTGGATCGGTATTAACGGAGGAACGTGATGAAGCTGAAGTTGTGCGCTTGCCCGCTACACACTGATCCGTATCGGCGGCGTTGCCGTCGGCGGCGCGTGCGGGCGCATTGGTGCGTCGCGTTTGTTTAGCTCCACGTTTCGCGGACTGTTCGATCAGCTGCAGCTGTCGATTCGAACGTATCTCACGCGATTTGGCGATTAAAGGACGCGCTGTAATACTAGAGACAGTCAACAAATTTTCATTGTCCTCTTCTTCAATTTCAGTAATTTGATGTTCCAAGAGGCTGGAGTGCAAAGTACGACTGACCGGTGCCGGACAGTATGGCGTGTTAATGGGCAACGTTGCCGGTCGACGTTGTATGCCGTGCGTCGTGGTGCCCGCAATAGTGGCTGTACCGTCCATTGCACTGCCGATGGTGGCACTCGCAGCGAAACCTGTAGCCGTCTTGTTTGTATCCATCGACGTGGTAGAGTATGCATTTTGCGCGCTACCACCCATCGTTGATAAACCCATTCCAACACCCGCTTGCAGTGCAAGTCCACCCCCAATGCCCATCGCTTTGGCGATTCCTCCGCTTTTAAGCGCATCCACTTGCATAACATCATGTTCAGCAAGCGGTACCGGTGGCGCCGAGACAACTGAGAATAACGAACCAGTCGACTGTTGACACTCGGTGAGCAAAGATGGTGGGGCGGGTTGAGAACAGGCAACCGTTGTTGGTAGTTCACACGAATCGCCGACGAGTGATGGAGGCGGCGATGGTGGTATTTCGGTGGCGGCGTGATGATTGTGTTGGTCAGTAATGTAGAGGCCGCATCCAACACCGCTGTCCGTGGACGTGCGAATGAACCCTCCCGACTGGTGCTGGACTCCACCAGTTGGGTACGATTCACTCGTGCCGTATAACGGTCCCCGTGAATTCTGAGATTAAAATAAAAAAAAAATTCATTTTAAAATTAATATTTCCAAAAATTATAATATACTCCTACTTGTAACATAAATGACAATAAGCTTAAGTGAATATGTTGATAAATAAAAAAAAATTATTAACTCTGTTCGGAGAGAAATGCCAGTAAGAATTAGCCATTCAAATCAAAATTGCTGTGCAAATTTTATTGGGTTTTTGGCCTCACTGAACGCGGTTCAATAGAAATTGGTAACAATTGTTATTACCTATCAGCTCACCGAACAGAGCTAGTGCTTGTCCAAATGGCATTGTTAAAAGTTAGTGAATTCCACTACAGATGTGATAGCGAGAGTAAAAACGGACGTGGACGATGTCGCCAGACTTGATAGGGAAGAATAATATTAAACAAGATAAAGGAAAAAGATTTGGTAAAACGACTTTTGAAATTAATTAAAATAATTTATTGACTAAAAAATCTCTGTACATTAAAAATGTATGGTTAGATAATGATTCAATCTATTTATTAGCATTTATTCCATTTTATTACGGAAAAAGTTTGTGATTGTAATTTGGAGATTATTTATTAAAGATATATTGATATGAGACTTTCACTAAATTATTGCGAAAAATTATGGAACCAGTCAACTTTTAATTATTTGAAGTAGTTTGGTATTTATATATCATAAATAAATTGAAAAGCGCGAACGACACGCGAACAATTATTTTTATTGCTTTATCTACCCTTTACCGCAACGATTTCTTGTATATTTTACAAGTACATACATACATACATATGTACGAGTATATCGATCCTATCACTTAAATACGTTCTACACACATTTAAATATATAAATGCTCAGATGTTCATATATTCATATGTACAGCGCTATCCATTTTGTGGTGTCGAAAATAAAGCTAAATAAAATGCATTTGCGATAATTTCACAAAAAAAAGAGTTCAACGCTGTCGCGTCGCAGGATCACAGTGATCAATTGACTTCGTCAAGACAAGCGATTACGCAGTCGGGAAATTTCTCTCGCAATAACGCCATATTCGCTCGTCTTGTGTGTCATGTGGCACCATCTTGCTGAAGAAACAGAAAGCAGAAGTCGTGTTCTTCAATTGCAAGCGCTTCGAAGTGACAGTGACAGTCTCGCCGTTGTCGTTTTCAGTGAAGTAAGGTGCAATCACACCACCTGACCAAGGTGCGCACCAGATAGTAAGTTTTAATTTTTTTTTGGTGTAAGGGCCTCACTTCAATTATTTGAGAATACTCGTATCCCCAATTGTGGCAATTTAATTTATTTACATATCACTCGTCGCTGAAGAAAATTTCGTTCAAAAAATCTCTCTCCACTGTTTGTTGTTCAGGCTTCAGTTGTTGCACGAGCTGGACTTTATATAGATATGGGTGTAAGTGCAAGTGCGAAATACGCCGAGAAATAGACACACTGGAGTCTTTGGCTACTCTTCTACTTACATTAGCAATATTTAAAGTGAAACGAGCAAACAACGTGTATAGGCCTTACAATATCTGCAAGCGAGCCAGTTTCTTCAAAATTTCTTTAAAATGTTACCAATTACTTGAGTATTTAGACGCGTCGTGCGCTTGTCAAGCGATTTTAATAAATGCCTGTCTTTTAGCGAAAACTAAAAATTTTTCGGCTTGACAGTTAAGTTCAGCCCTGTACTTTTGAAACCACGAAATGGATAACCCTATATATGTATCGTCTCATAAATAGTTCTCTGCACTCGATCAATTACTTAAATTATAGCTTCAATTTACTTTACTTGTTTAATCGATGTAATAACCATCACCGCCGGCGCAGCTTGGCGAATCAACAAATAAATAAATGAACTCATCAAATTGGAGAAAAGCAAACACGGGCAAATGACGGCATACAGGAGAATTCTTTAAACTTTGATGCACACATATTTTTGTATGTCTGTATGTATGTGAGCCTTTTCCATTTACCCTACACGATACACAACAGTCAAACAGTCAAGGCCAAATTTTCTTTGCCTGAAAGAATGGAAATAATTCAAGCTTATACTCGTAGAGGAGAATTCCGAACGAAAGGTGAAATGGCTTAAGATGCTCCAAATGAAACATGTAAATATGTATGGATCTAGAAAACATTAAATTCAAATATAGTAGATAATTTTGAAAATAAAATAAAATAATGGATACTGTCATTTTGCTTCTTATATTTTTATGAAAATTTATGCCGATGTGATCGAAATGACGAGTTGAGTTTGGGCGTAAAATAATTTCTCAGTTTTTGAGATATTTGCACGAAATTCGGTAGGTAAATGTATTTTTGTAATTTTTTAATCATTAGTCGGAACAAGCAAGATCTGACGACTATGTATATCACATATTTAGCTCCCATACAACTGGTTGGGACGGTGTGTCCCAAAAACAACCGAACTTTATATTTAAATCATACAACATACAGCGCCATCTATTAAAAATTTGCAACATTAAAAAGATACATTCATCCTCTTTCAAACGCACCTAACATCATGTAAGTCGGATGACAGATGTAAAAGTGACAGCCATTTCAATAAAACCAAAAGTGTGCTAATGGTTCAAAAATAAAATGGAACAAAGAGCAAATATAAAATTTTGTGTCAAACTTTAAAAAAAAAATTAATGAAAAAAGTTTATTGTGATGATTGTATGAGTCGTACGCAAGTTTATACGTGGCTTACACGATTTAAAAATGGTCGTGAGGATTTAAATGACGACCCTAGAGCAGGACGTCCAGAAACTAGTAATCGTGCTGAACTGGTGGAAAAAGTCCGTGAAATCATTGGTATCGATGCAAATTTTACTACGAGAATATTGGCTGAAAAATTGAATACGAGTAAAAACACTATTTGGAGAATTTTAACTGAAGATTTGGGGAAAAGAAAGGTCTGTGCGCGATTTGTTCCACATGAATTAAATGACGACCAAAAAATCGCTCGAATTTTTAATGAAAAAAGATATTCCTCTCATCAACCATCCTCTGTATTCGCCTAATCTATCACCAAACTGAAAGCCAAGATGAAGGGAGCATTTTATGATGATATCCCAGCCATTCAAGCCGCCGTAACCGAGGTACTGAAGAACACTTCTATAAATGACATAAAAAATCTATGCATGTGCTGGTTGATCGTTCCAAACGTGGTGTTGAGTCAAATGGAATCTATTTTGAATAAATAATTACTTTCAAAGATAATATAATGTGAATTTTTGGGATACACCGTGTATCGAAAAACCTGAGATTTAGTACTACAGATCATGATACAAACATTCTATAAGGTAGTTTCACTTCGAAATTTTTCACACTAAACGTGTTTGCTCAGAATTGTTTGATTTTGCCACTTAAAATATATTCAACTTGGAGTTTTTTATTAGTTTTTTCTTACTTTCTTCAAAGCGTATGGATGTAAAGAAAAGAAAATAAATTTGTAGATTCTTTTTATTACAAATAAATTGAAAAGAGTTGACATTTTTGAATTTTTTTCAAAAACTTTTATTCTTAAACTTTTTCGACGCTTGGGTTCCTGGTCTAAGGGTCATGCCAGGGAACTATGAGGCCGATGACTTTTATAGCCCCGGTAATCTTTGCGTATGACATGAGCAGACTTCTTTTTTCGCCAAACTATCTGTCTTCAACTCTGAAATCTTAGGGAACAACTTTGAAGTTTTTAGAAATGACCGTTTAAATAAAATAAATTGGTGGTGGAGTACTAGTGTATGGTGTTCAAACTAACCTTGCTGCGGAAGAAATTCATTTTGCGAAATCGGAAACGATGGACTTTTTTTATGTTAAATACGTTTAATTAATAAAAATATTTATATTTCCGGCAGATATTTCCCGCCAAATTCTGACTTTTCTACTCACTCTCCCCAGTCATTATTTTCCATTACTAAAACATCTGACAATGTTGTTGTGATAGGCTTATCCTATGTATCATGGAATTTTAAAGACACTTTATTAGTACCTAGCTCAGATCAACTCGAGATAATGCTCATAATTTCCTTAATGAGCTTTCTGATTTGTGCTTTTTTTTCTAGAAAGACTTTGGATGTAATATTTTTAGATGACGTTTCGTCATTTCTTTTATGTCGCTGTGATCCTTTCGTTTTGCCCAAAGGTGATTATCATCCATCTCTCGAATTATCTTTAGATATATCCTCTAATCTTAATTATCCAATATCTACTTCAAAATCGATTATATCTAAAAAGGCAAATTGTTTTAATCTTAGAAATGCGCTGTCTACGATTTCCTGAAAAATGTATGACGGAAACGTGGAAGAAAGCGTTCTTCACTTCACTAGTGCTTTACATTCTGCCTTCAGAATTGGTTTCTATAACAAATGAGTTCAAATTGCTTTATGGTTTAATAAAGAATTGAATAGCTTGAAAAATAAGAAGATTAGATTATTCAATCTCTATAAAAAGTCCGGCAAACTTTCTGATTATTGTGCTTATTCCGTAGTTAGACAAAAGTATAATATTTTGAATAAGTCGTGTTACAAGAATTTAGAACAACATTACTTCGAATCCAAAGTCGTTCCCTAGTTCTGTTAATTCGAAACGTAAGACTTTTGGGTTGCTATCATCTATGAAAATGATTGATGAAGTCTCTAGCGATTGTTACAGAATCGCAGATATGTTCGTAGACTTTTTCGAATCTAAATATGCTCCGAACACATTCATATAACCTTACTTAATACCTTAGTTTGATTGTTTAAAAGTACCAGATATGTCCGCTGATGTTGTTTATCACCATCTTAATGCCCTTAAGAGCTCATTCACATGCGGTCCGCATAATATCCCTACTAGAGTACTTAAATTTTGTGTTGAATTTCTATATATGCCATTAACGAACATTCTCAATGCAATATTAAAGCAAAATTTATTCCCTTCTTTGAGAAAAGTGTCATACAATGTACCTCTACATAAATCTGGTAGTAGTTCTTCGATTGGGAATTGCGGGGGGATAGTAGAGTTATGTT